CTTTCCTCCCTTTTATGGCCTTTCTCCCTGGTTTTGTCTGTTCTTTTTCATTTGCCATTTTGTCAGGGGAAAGCAGCACACAAATATCAATGTTAAAAGAAACTTCTAGAATTGTATGTAATCTCCTAGTCAGAACAGGTTTTAAAAAATGTTTGAAATGGCACTTGCAAAAGTTTGTGGGTTTTTTTTCTCCCTGAATTCTTTGTAGCTACAAGGTTTGCTATTGTTGACTTTGAGCTCAAAAATTGGTTATTTCAGTTCTGCTGTTGACATTTTTAAGGTGCTTAAGGCCTAATGAACAGGAGAGGAATTGTGTAACATGCTGATCATCATTTGTCATTTAGAGGATGTTGAGAACTGTGTGAAGCAATGTGGCTTCACCCATGTGCTATAAAATTAGACTTTTCACACCAAAAGAGATTATACAAACTACAGCAAAGCACTATATATCCTAGTTCTAGTTTGCTGTCTACTGCAGCATGAATTTACTATTCTCAGCTTTCAGACTGAACTAGAGATATTATTTGCCTCTCTGTCTATAAATATGAAACACGGAAAGGTTGACCCTCTAACCACTTTAATGAAAAACAGAATTCTCTGATTGGGCTGATTTGTAATTCTTGTGGCAACCAGAAGATGAATATAAACTTTACTTCAGCTCTCAGTACAGATATTTTGCATTTTCATTGTCTGTGGTTGATCTTTTCCCAAGCAGTACTGGGGACAGAGTGGGGGAAACTGATGAAATTACTAATGCAGAGCTCATGCTATATCTGTGATTTCACAGTTTAAATTTGCAAATTATTGGATCAATACAGTCAGTTGACTTGATTCCCCCCACCCCCAAAAAGAATAAAGCTGCTCTAACATTTAATTTCACAAAGTCCCCTCTCAGAAATTTCAAAGGATACTTCTTTAGGTGCTTGACTGCCTTGCCTTGTCTATTTGCTCTTATTTTGCATGCGAGATAGAGGCAGAAGGCTTTTTTCTCATTGTGTACACATAGTGTTAATGGATCTGCTCTGCCTGTATTGCCTCATTACTGGAAACAGCTCAAAACACAGAAGTCTTTCAGTGTATGCAAATAAGGCAGAATCATCTACCTGAGCGTTAATATTCTCTACCTTTAAGTGTATTCTAAATGTAATGTTTGTATTTAGAGCATAACATCCTGTTCTCTTTTTTCATGGGCAAAAAGCTAAGCAGGCTCAGGCAGCTGTTTGATGTTGGCTTCAAGTGTTATTAATTTCATATTCTATTATTCTTTTCACTGTAGCACAAGTGAAGCTGATGTGGAGGCTGTCATGGATAAGTTGTTTGATGAGCTGGCTCAGAAACAAAATGATTGTACGTAAGTTAATTTCTCTTGAAAGAGAATACATTTAGAACACAATGCCCAATCTCCACTGACCAATTAATAAGTTCCATTGCTGTATATGGGTTGATGCCACACTCAAGTGGCAGTCATTGTATCAGCATTTTGTCTAATTTATGTGTTGAATCATGTGCTATTATTCATGAAGCTATGCATTTCCTATCTGTAAGAGATGAATTTTATAGTAATTATCCAGAGAAGATTGAGTCTTTGTTCATGTTCCCATAGTAACTAGACCAAGGATTCTAAAAGTGCAAGGCAGAGAGCTGAGGCTGAATAAAGCGTGTGGAACCATTGCAGACTTCACGTTTGAAGAGCTGTGTGACAGAGTGAGTACCCAGTCCAACCCAGTCCAATCTAGATCAGTTAATGCTCAGACTTTTCACAGCTTTTAAAAAAAATTAAATATATCCAAACCACACAAACTCACTGTTTTCCCAAGTCACACTAACTTAAAAGGGGTTTAATTTAACTTGGCAGAAAGTTTTTGAATTTAACAGGAAAAAATCAACCCTCCACACAAAAAAAAAAATATTCTTTTTAGTGATACAGTAAATTCACGCTTAAGTGTCTCACAGATTGTCTTCAAAATTCCTATTACAATATGTGCCTGGGCTATCCTTACTGCTGGTATATTAGTGATCATAACATGTCAATATGTAAATGGCATTCCAGTACTGTTTTTAAAATGTGGGATTTAAGTTGATACTCAAGCAAAGGAGGAGTGATTCTGGCACCACCGAGTAGCACTGCTGTTGCATGGCTTAGTTTTGACTATGTGTACCAGGGCTGTTTAGTCCCTGGCCTTCTCAAAATAGGCCAAATTTTGCTAACTACTGAGGAATTCTCCACTTAAACATGTGGGGGGTGATTCCTGAAAAGCTTTCTTTGTCTGTTACCTAAAGTGGGTCAGAAGACAGTGCCCCAGAAGTTACATTACACTTCAGTGATCTCTCTACTTGTGGCTGAAGTTGTTGTTAAATGATTACAACTCCAAACTGTGCTAATAGCACCTTTAATTCAGAATGCTGACCAGTCTTTTGTTGATAATACTGTGTTTTCTCTTCCTTGTAGCTACCAAGTTGGTAACTATTTGGACAGAAATTTCACTTGTTATCAGACTGTAGCTTTTAGACTGTTTTGTTTTCAGTTTCAGACAAAACCAGTTAGCCATTTGTAAGAATGGAGGTATGTCATGGTTAGAACAGCTTGTTTCTCACTAGAAGTTTTGAGCCTTTTTCTTCCTCATGCCTCTTAAAGTATCAAGAAGCTATGCTGTCTGCAAATACTTGTGAAATTCTTTAGTCCAGTAGAATGATAGAATCATCAGGGTTGATGGAGATCAGTCTTGGTTGAAGATCAAGTCCAGCCATTAACCTGCCACTCTGCTGGAACCCCTAAACCCCAAACCATATCCTCCAGCATCGGATCCAGATGTCTCTTAAACACTTCCAGAGATGGTGACTCCACCACCTCCCTGGGCAGTCTATTCAAAATGTTCAGTAAATGCCTTTTGTACTTAAATGGGGTGATAAGTTACTTCTAAGTAGAGGTACTCTGACAGCTCACATGGCAGCAGGCACTGCTTTGGGTCTGAAGGTTCTGATCCTGTTCAAGAATTACATGGGGTTCAGCTCATCGTGACACAATAAAGGGGCTTGGTTTGCACTCAGAGCAAGGAAAGAGAATCCTTATGAAATGTTAAATATTATTTAACAGTACTGTTCTTGCAGTGATCTCTCAGGACTTAGGAAGTGGTGCTGATTCAGAGGCTTCTGCATGTGTGTTATGACAGTCTCTAATGGCATAATCACATGCTTAAAACTAAAACAACATGGTAGACAATAAATGCTTTCCTTTAACAACTTCCTCAGTCATTGCTTACTGTCTCTGCATATGCCTCCATTTGTTTCTACCTTGACTTGTTAGATACTATTATTCATTTTGCCATGATTTTTCTCTTTGGATAACTGATATACCCTCATCAATTTTACATTAGTATGTTGGTAAGGTGTGTCAGTGTGCTTCCTTCACAGCTAGAGAAGTCAAACCATGAAACCATGTTCCTATTCTTTTTGTGAAATCCTTTTAACTGTTTGATGGAAAAACTTCCACATGCAATGTCTTTTTATAACAGCCAGAATGGGAAGTTGCTTCCACTCATGCCACAGAGGACATAGGTAGGATCCAGAAGAGTGCACTGGTGGTTTATAGCAAAAAATGCCTCAAAGCAGAAGACATTCAACATGACAGGAAGTATAAAGTCATTCATATATATTCCAGTAAGCTAGCTCATAGTGGGAACTGTCTGTGGAGAGATAAAGCAGGAATCTGTAGGGAACATAGCTACAAGGTATTTGGTACTGCTTGTGAAGCCAAATGGTAGATAAGTGCAGCTATTAAGAAAAAGGGAAGTAGGAGGCTGAAAAAGATGTAATGAAAATCAAGATGCACAAAAGAAAATACTGGAGGGGAATTTGTTGGATTTGCCTGGAGTCAATCTGCAGGTTTCTTTGTACAGGACAAAGTCCCATGGGAAGGTAGATTGTGTGAAGGGACACAGGGCAGGGAATCTTACCAGCTGGAGCCTGTAGAAGCCAGGGAATAGCTTAACTGACAGCCCAAGCAAAGCCTCCCAGGTAGATAAATGTAATATAAAGTTGGTGTCGTAGGAGCCCATGAAACTTGTAACAGAATTGAAAACAAGATTCACAGTTGGTTTTGTATCAGTCCTAAGACCTGGTGACAAGCATGAAAAATAGGAAACTCTCATTAATGGGGAAAAAATAGTTAGAATTGATTTTATTGGAACCTTGTGGGTTAATTCATATTATAATACTGCGAAATCATGGATTCTCCCTCTCTGGAGGTATTCAGGAACCATCTGCACACAGTCCTGAGCCATGTGCTCTAGGGTGTCCCTGCTTGAGTAGGGAGGTTGGACCAGATGACCCATTGTGGTCCCTCGCAGCCTAACTGATTCTGTGACTCTGTGAACCAGTGCTTACAGCCTACTTAAGGACAGAGTGGCTAACAGAGGTGGAAGACAGTGTGCAACGATAAACATACTGGTACCTGCCTCAAAGATAATTAATACAAGGTTCTTGAATATGTATCCATCAGTCTGCTAATTAACAAGCCCAAGAGGATAGTACTCACAGGGATCTGTTGCAAATGGAGAATGCAGTGCATTGCTTCTTGAGCACTTGGCTATAAAAACCATATAAAGGAAATATACCATTGTGTGGGAAGCTTAGCATATAGATGAAATGTGGGAAAAGGTGAAATGCAATTAGCCTGAAAATCACAAATTATCGTTTTCTAGCATCAAATGTACTGTATCCACTTCAGGGTCATTTGTTTGGAGCAGTTTTATGGGAGCTTACAGTGATCCTTCCAAACAGTGAGATTTCATATTTGAGTGTTCAGAAAGAGTAGTTTTCAAAGGCAAAAAGGAAGGGAAGTACAAGCAACAACAACAACAATGAAAGAACAAGAAGGACTCTTTAAAAGAGAAGATAGTAAAAGTATTTCTGTGTCACTGTTGAGACAGAGTGGAATAATATGGAATGAATGGCAACTAGTTATGAAGTGCAGGAAAATTATAAAAGTAAAGGCCATGGGCAAATATCATGTCTGCTCAGAGAAAAAACTTCTTAAGTACAGTGGGAGTTTTGTTATGGTTTATATTGTTTGAATGTTAAGGGCTTATTCTTAGTTGGAGATGGATGAACATTTAATAATGATGTGGAAAAAGGAAAAGGTTTTGCAAAAAATACATGTTCTAGGTGAAGCAGAGTGAAATATTTGTTTCAGTAAAGGTTAATGAAATGGTTTTCAGTCTGTTAATAGTTAGCATATGTTAAAAATAGGCTACAAACAAGTTTTGCATCATCAGGCAAAACTAGGCTGAGCTCTCTGACTAGCTTTTTATTTTTGGTGTATGTTGGAGTGCAAGAGAAATCCCATGTCACTAGGAGAACACCTCTGTGTGCCCATACTGAAAGATAAACAAGTGAAATTCACACATGCATATGATGACTGGTATAATTCCAGGCTGGTGGCCAGGTTTGAGTCCAGAAAGGGTAATGGAGAAGCTACTTCTAGATTTATACAGTGGAAGACTAAAGAATGGAAATGAAATTAATTCTCCAGTCTCCCTGATTTTTGTAGGAGGGACTGAGATTTGTAGATGCTGTTCTTACTAGGAAATTGGCATTAGGCAGTCTCAAAAAAGTGTTTGTTAAATGGATTTGCAAGTTAGTGAACTAACAGAAAAAGAATTAAGACTGAAGGTTTGTTGTTGAGTTGAGCATCTGTAATGATCATACTTTAGTATAATATTTTTTTTCCCAGCAGTTTTGAATATAACATAAATGCTAATACAAATTTGCTGTAAATACTGAGAATGCTGTGTGTGTGGGGCAGGAGCAATGGAAACAAGGATGTTGAGTGCAATTTATTTCTCATCAGAACTGAGATTTTGGGGAAGGGTTTTTATTGGGAGGGAGTTCGTTTTGTTTTGCCTTTTTTGCATCTAAGCAAACACAAAATTTTACAACTACAAATCAGGGATACAAGTCATAAACACAGGAGGAGACTGTGCCCTAGGCTTAGTGGCTTGGAAATAGATTGAAGGGTTGTAATGGACAAACAGTGCAAAAGGAGCTTCTGGTCCAGTGTGAGAGCATTTAGACCTGATTTCATCTGGGGTGGGTAAAGTGGAGATAAATAGGAGGGTAGGAAGATTGAGTTCTGAGAACATCTCAGATTGATGACAGAATGTTAGGTGTGGTTTTGACTTGAAAATGTTAGCAAAGATGTTGAAAAACCCGACAAGGCTGTTGGAAAAGCCATAAATTACTTGAGCTGGAGAATTTGTTCCCTCAGATGACAGACTTACAGTTCAGTTTGTTCAGCTTACCAAAATGGAAGATGATTTTATAACATACAGCTATTTTCACAGGGAAAATAAAAGTATTAGTGTTCTCCTAAGTCTAGAAGAAGAAACATAATAAACCCCAGAGAATACAGTGAGATTCAGATTAAAAAACGAAACAAAAGCACTCATTGAGACATTTGAAACAGTGAAAGGAGTGGCAGAGCCTCCTTGTACTGTGTTTTGGGTCAAAACTGGATGTCATTTTGGGAAGAGGTGTTTGTGTTTGAGCAAAGTACCGGGTTTTATGCTTAGCTGTCTCTGAAATTCAGGAGCTTGAAGTACTTAGCTGTCGCACGATTCAGATTAAAAAACGAAACAAAAGCACTCATTGAGACATTTGAAACAGTGAAAGGAGTGGCAGAGCCTCCTTGTACTGTGTTTTGGGTC